CTTTAAATGGTAGGAGATCTTGTAAAATGTAACTTTTGGCTCTTCTGCCTCAAAAGGTTGCCGACCCCTGAACTAGATGCATACATCGGTATCAATAACTCACTCCACAGTACTATTTTCAACTGCAGGGGAACCAGTGTACTTTGTACATCAGACAAACACAAAGTACATACACGAATAGACGAGACAGAGGAACCAGTATACTTTATACATCAGACAAACACAAAGTACATACACGAATAAACAGGACAGGATAGCATGCATCACATTGAATATTGACAAAACAGAAATAACAAACATCAATGTATACGCCCCAACACATAGACAAGAACAAAAACATTTCTACCACACGCTTAATGAACTTATAAATACCGAATACAAAAACAAGACGATACTTTTAGCAGGTGACTTTAATATGGTCATTGACGACACAGACCTAATAGGGCATAATGACAGGAAAATGGAAAGGCTAAAACAAGATACAGAGCAAATGTATACATTAAACAATATAATAAAAACGACAAGCTTAAAAGACACCTACAAGAATACACATCTACATTACACTGAAACAACACATCACAGCAGAACACATCATAGCGCAGCTAGGCTAGACAGAATATACGCTCATGAAAGTATAACGGTAAGTTAAATAGTTATATCAGGATTTTATCTAGTAAAGACATACATCTAGAGAACACTAGAGACTGTTCTGATCAAAGAACATATAAAATACGTATGTATGTACCAAACAACAATGAACCGATTGCGTTGACATCTTAGTGACAATATAAATATTGATTTTTTTTCCCTAAAATGTAAATACATAGGATATAAAGCTTCGCTTTGTTTGTGTTTATTTAAAACAAATACAGACCCATGTAGCTACAGACCCATGTAGCCACAGACCCATGTAGCCACAGACCCATTTATTCACAGACCCATGTAGCCACAGACCCATGTAGCCACAGACCCATGTAGCCACAGACGCATGTAGCCACAGACCCATGTAGCCACAGACCCATTTATTCACAGACCCATGTAGCCACAGACCCATTTATTCACAGGCCCATGTAGCCACAGACACATGTAGCCACAGACCCATGTAGCCACAGACCCATGTAGTCACAGACCTATGTAGCCACAGACCCATGTAGCCACAGACCCATGTAGTCACAGAGCCATGTAGCCACAGACCAATGTAGCCACAGACCCATGTAGCCACAGACCCATGTAGCAACAGACCCATGTAGCAACAGACCCATGTAGCCACAGACCCATGTAGCAACAGACCCATTTATTCACAGACCCATGTAGCCACAGACCCAAGTAGCAACATTAATATGAACGTACAGTCACTTTATCGTAGCCCTTACAAAAACTGTTATATTAAACACAATCTCTGGAAACATATAACATTTTTACATATAATCGAACGTTATAACAGAAGGTGTTTTTCTTTACCACGTTGTTTACATTGTAGATGTGCTTACATATTAAGAAGAATAAATTATGTTGTAATCTAAATTAATAACGCAAATCCAAAATCTTACATGTAATTAGGTTAAATTTGTAATGTATGAGAATATACGCCGTAATATATACATTATACAATCGTGATATATACGCACAGTGGCGTAGCCAGGATCGTCTCAACGGGGGGGGGGGGGGGGGGGGGTCCAATTTCTACCTGGGGACATACTTTCGATTTGCACCCCACCCCCAACCCCCTCAAACTTTCGATTTGCACCCCCCTCATACTTTATATATATATATATACCGAGGGGTCTATTGTGGGGGGGGGGGGGGTTATGACCCCCCCCCCTAACCCCCCTGCCTACGCCACTGTATACGCATCATTTATTTGATTTAGGATTTTGGATTGTCTCTACTAGAAGAGCTGCTGTCCCCAGCTATCGAGCCTCATCTGCCCGAGGGTTCGAACTGGAGACATTTTAGTTCACTAACCATTATCTTTACCACGACCATCAACTATAATTGAGTTGAATTGTAAGATCTTAAATGATTTAAAACATAAATGCTAAATAATGTTTCCTCGATCTACGATTTGTATTTATTCATTGTGGTTGAAAAAAGTAATTAGTTGTTTTGAAGAAATACGATCGTTTAGAAGATCCATACAATCCCGCTATATAAACAACAAAGTTACACGCTTGTTTCAGCAGTAATAAAATCAATACATCTGTATTGTTCTATTAAACTAAATATCAGTTTTTATTTCTATATATATATATCTTACAATAACAACGAGTGGACAGGGTCACTATATTTGACCGCTTCCATCATAGAGCCAGACTAAGTTTGACATGAAATTATTACTGAAATAAATGAAAAAAGGTTACGTCTATGTCATTTATCTTTGCAATTTAAGTAGTTTCATATGTCTATGTGTAAAATGATTTTGATTACAATAAATAACGTATATAGTCTATTATTATGACAATACTAAGTCCTACATATTTCTCAAACCTTTACATACCCACATTTTCCAGTTTGCCATCACGATCTTTATTCCCTTCATGTAGGTGTAGACCCCTGTAAAAACAACCCACTGCAACAACAGAACATCGGATATGCGACATTTCATGATAGAACAAAAATATTGGATTCTAATAAAATAAAGGATGGCAGCGGACGTGTATTGAACTATAGATTACACAATCTAAATGTGGATGTTATTTGTTCTTATGTCATAACAAAAAAACGTGTACAACAGGTTCTGCTTAGTCGATGAATATTTACCGAGGCTGAACAAATAGGTCATCACATGATATATACCACATATAGGCACTGAATTACTGACACTAGATAAAAATCGATACTGAGTTGACAGTTAATGTTTTAATAATATATATTTACGTTTTAATTTAACGAGTTTCTTGCTGTTTGTTTTCTTCACTCATAATAACTTAGGATTTGTAATAAAATATATATCAAAGGGAAGCAACCCGCAAAACAAACTTTTTAAGTCGTTAAAAATATTATTTCAAACGTTTAGTAGTAACATAAGGAAACAAATATTGATAACCAAACAAAACACTTATAAACTGCATATTTATGTCGAATAATGTAATCAAAAGATAAAATGTAAAGAAAAGAAAAATCAATTTTATTGTAGTCAATTAATAGAACCTATAGCTATTTTGACTAATTTGTGGTTTAAATTGAGTGGGTTTATTTTCAACATTACTTTACACATTTGTTTGGTGACAGATCAAATATAATCCTTTTTTTTAGATTAAAAAAAGTAAAAAATACTTAACTTTTTGGAATAACTATAAGTGTAGAAATTGAGAAAATTTATTTTAAAAAGAGTTTCACCGTCATCATATTCCGAGACATACATTTTGTATATTATAAAAAAAAGAGTTAAGTTTCTTCAGTAGAAGTCATTGGCATGAGGCATAGTGTATTAAAACGCAATCTAAAACCATTTTGGAAACATGGTATCTTCTGCAACCTCAAATGTTCTCTTGGTCTGTGTGAGGGCTGTGAAAATACAATTAGGTTGTTGTCCTCTAGCCCGTGACATGTGAATATGTAGTGCACACATCTCAAGGTGATTCACGTTTATTAAAATATTTGAATTAGGTAACTGTCAACTCACAATTTTAAAAAATGTTTTAGTATCCCTCACCTGAAACTGTAAACAAGGTCCAGCCTGTGGTCTGCTGTAATGTACACTGAACATATGTGGGATGATGTAGTTAGTTTCTACATAATTATTTTTATTCTTCTGTAAGATCTAAAATGTCTATGTAGTTCATTTTTATTGAGCGGTCATTTGATTTTAATCGATTTTTAGAAACCAAATATTTAATGTGCTCCTCTGAAAGTTGCTAATTATACGAAACAATTGAACCATTATTTTAGTTAACCAATTGGTATTTTTCATGCAGACAAGCAGCTCGCTACCCTTGGGGATTTAAATACATTGGTTAATACATTGCAAAAAGGTCATTTGCGTCGGTGATTGCAATATAGTCTATTAACTATTGTTGCGAAAATAGTTTTATTTCATCTTTTTGCGTTAAGAAACAATTTAGATAGAATGTACTAGAACAAAACTATGTTATGGCCTATTAAATAGATTTCATAGGATAATATTACAGACACGACAAGGCAAAAACAAATGACACAGATAATAGAAATACACAATACGACTTATTTAAACCACAAGGTAAAAATAATATACTTTTACTCACTTCTAATGCTGCGATTTTGTTCAAAATTTTCAGAAATGCACACACGAATATCGTATAATTTAAAATATTTTAAAACTACAATAAAACTGATTCCGTAATATTAGATTTAAATAAAACACAAAAATATATATTAATTATGTTTGATGGAACATAGAGAGCATTGGTGTTTTCTATGGCCGCTCGTAGATTTTGTCGGTCTGGTATTGTTTGCGTTGGCTTCAGGTGGAGGTGTTGTTTGTGTTGGCTTCAGGTGGAGGTGTTGTTTGTGTTGGCTTCAGGTGGAGGTGTTGTTTGTGTTGGCTTTAGGTGGAGGTGTTGTTTGTGTTGGCTTTAGGTGGAGGTATTGTTTGTGTTGGCTTCAGGTGGAGGTGTTGTTTGTGTTGGCTTCAGGTGGAGGTGTTGTTTGTGTTGGCTTCAGGTGGAGGTGTTGTTTGTGTTGGCTTCAGGTGGAGGTGTTGTTTGTGTTGGCTTTAGGTGGAGGTGTTGTTTGTGTTGGCTTCAGGTGGAGGTGTTGTTTGTGTTGGCTTCAGGTGGAGGTGTTGTTTGTGTTGGCTTCAGGTGGAGGTGTTGTTTGTGTTGGCTTCAGGTGGAGGTGTTGTTTGTGTTGGCTTCAGGTGGAGGTGTTGGTTGTGTTGGCTTCAGGTGGAGGTGTTGTTTGTGTTGGCTTCAGGTGGAGGTGTTGTTTGTGTTGGCTTCAGGTGGAGGTGTTGTTTGTGTTGGCTTCAGGTGGAGGTGTTGTTTGTGTTGGCTTCGGGTGAGGTGTTGTTTGTGTTGGCTTCAGGTGGAGGTGTAGGTTGTGTTGGCTTCAGGTGGAGGTGTTGGTTGTGTTGGCTTCGGGTGAGGTGTTGTTTGTGTTGGCTTCAGGTGGAGGTGTTGTTGTTGACTGGCCATGGCTTCCCTTTCACTTGTGTTGTCTGGAGATGTTAATTCTTCTGAGGTTTTTCTCTTATTCTGAGGTTTAGCTTCCTGGTGTGTATTTTGTCGTATCTATGTCTATAGCCGAGACTTGTTGTTGTATGTTAGTAAGAGCTTTGGTTGGTCCTACTGCTTGTATCAATTATTATAAGAAACAAATTATTTGCCAACTCGACAAAAAGCAGTAAACGAACGCAATGGGAGCCAGTAGCCATCGATAAATCTAAACTTTTTAAAGTCTACAAATATAGTAATTAAAAAGACTGTATATTTTTATTAAAAAGTAACACATATATAAATATTACCTGACTTGCAAACTTTATATTATATATGATATATCGTTTCGTCGACCGCCTATTTTTGTTACGTTTTCGCTATTTTGTTGTGATTCTGCAGGAGTATGATGTGTTTCAGTTTGACCATCTACTCCAAAGGTATCTTCTACCTCTCCACGCCTTGCTTCTCTAAGCATTTCATTTTGTCTTTCTCCGTCATCATCATAACTGTCCCAATGTTTTTAGAAATTTCTATTGTTACTTAGATGTTCCCTAACTTCTTTATCATTTGCGTCCCAATTCTCAATTGCCCTGTACTGTACTATTTATATGAACAGCTGTGCTTTGTTAAATATTTCAGGACCTTTTTTTTGTTTTTACTAATATGTAAAAAAACAGGTTTATGCTAATTAGTTACTGTAAGCATTGCTTCTGTTTTCAAAATTTATATAACGTAGTTTTGAAAGTGTTTTGACCAACGGCTGGATGGCTTTGTCGGCTGACAGACCATCGCTTGCAAATTTTTACCAACATTTACTAGACTGATGCCATTGGTACCATGGCAGGCAGTGAAGATGTGTTGGTAGAATTAGTAGACTATACCATTTGTTTAATGACTCTCCCTCTATCTCTCTATACGGCGATTACCAGCTCAAGTTATTGCTCATTAGCCAGACAGACTGGCTCATGCATTTCTTTCAAACATGTTACCAGTCGAAATTCCCAGGTTTAACCCTTTGAACCCTTAGCTCCTGAACCTACAATCCCCCCCCCCCCCCCACCACCACCACCATGTCCCTGTGCTCCTGAGTTAAATGTACACACTACTGACTCTCAATTTAAAAAAAAAACATTAACAAAGACTACGAATATAACAACTCTATTAGTTTAATTGTTTTATGGTACATACATTATCGCCGATACTTCCACTTTGTATGCCGGTCGCCAGTGTAGGTAGATCTTTCAGACATATATAGGTGTAGACATAGGTATTATGCCGAGTATCGGAATTTTAAAATCATCCTTCATTCGTGAAATCTAAAAGATAAACATAACATAAATATTGGTTCACTGGCGCAGTCGTGACAGGAGCCCTCTACCAATCTGACAATGCTTCCTTCAGTCACTGTTGAAGCATGACCACCTTACAGATAACAAGCGGGTCACAAAAGGACCGGATTGATACAGCTCTGTGTTCTTATTGGTTTGACTTACAAAGAAATGCTATCGCCAACACTACTCCCAAGAAAATATCCCTTTTTTACAAATTCCTCTCTACTAAGGTTCACGACCGAGGTCCCGTCAATTTTATTTTATTTGAATAGCTCGGGTTTAGTCGCTGAAAAAAACAAACATGCTCTACATAAAACGCCAGTTAATCATCAAGCCTTACAATTCCATTAGTTCCCAACTAATTCTTGAAGTTTTCGTTATTAATTAAAATCATTACATTATCGCAGTTGATTAAACCCCCGTCGTATTCTAAACGCTTTCCATACATTTAATCTGGCAGTAAATTGAACTTGCACTGTACACTCAGCTAAGTGTGTGTACGTATGTAATTGTCGAATGTAAGTGCTACATTTTTTAGCTGTAATGTTGGGATCAAATATAACGTTGATACAATTTTCTCGAATTGTTATGTTGTGGACATTTTTAGTAACATATTTATCGTTGTCCTGTTAGTTAAACTCTTTTATTTTTTTTTTAATTATATATTTAAAATTGTAAAAGCGTTGGTCGCTCATGAATTATCCTACACATTTTACCGATCCATGCTTTTACAAAAGAAAACAACTTCGTTTTTTATTTTATTTTATTGTATTCAAATGCGTAATAGTATAAATCATTTTTGTTTATATATATATATATATATATATATATATATATATATATATATATATATATATATATATATATATGTGTGTGTGTGTAAATATATATAATTTCCTTCTTTTTTGTAATTATGTATGTAGATATTTAAGTATTAAATGGACAATTAACAAGCTAATTACTCTTTATTTATAATCTGCAAATTCATATTGAAATCGACAACAATTACCACTAAACATATTTGCATTAAAATCCGATCATCTGTTTGTGATTTCTTATAGATAATTACCTGCAATCATCTGTCCCATCTTCAAGTCATTGGTTTGTTCTCATGCGTGAAATAAATTATCTTTGACCAACAGTTCACCAACATAAACATATGGTTATTTCCCCTTTCATTGTTGAATTTAGTAATATTTTAATTAATTTTAAGGAACAATTTTATATTTAACGAGCTGACCTGCGCCGTAAGCATACGCCAATACTTAGTTGCTTTTTTGCTAGTTTTCAGTAATTCATAATTTGTGAAATCGACACTACCCTCTCGTCCCCCTTTCTCCCCAAATCCCCCCTATTCATCCCCCCTCCCTCCTCCCCCCTCCCTAGTGTGTGGGTGGTAGCGATACGCCCTTAGTTGGTGGTGTCTTATGGTCCCCACGTAGAGAATTATATATTATATGGGAACAGTGCCTTTTCCCCCAGAGTAGTTACCCCCTGTCAATTACCCCCGCCCAGTAGGGCATCACCCCCCCCCCCCCCGTAGAGGGTTAGAGTTAGGGTTAGGGTAAAAGTTAGGGCTAGGTTTAGGGCTAGGGCTAGGGCTAGGGCTAGGGCTAGGGCTAGGGCTAGGGCTAGGGCTAGGGCTAGGGCTAGGGCTAGGGCTAGGGCTAGGGCTAGGGCTAGGGCTTTTTTGGTTTTGTGTTAAGAGTTAGGTGGATGCTTAGCTTTTGGTCTTTTACTTATGGTTAGGATTAAAGTAGTATTTAGGTATAGAATTCTAGTTAGAGTTAGGATTCTAACTTGAGAGTAGTGTGTGTGTGAGGGGGCGGGAGTAATTCCACGGGGGGGGATGTGGGGGGGGGGGGGTAATTGACAGGCAGGTAATTGGCAGGGGTTAATTGCTCCGGGGGGAGGGTAAATACGGGGGGATGTCTGGGGGGGTAATTTCCGGGGGGAGTAAATGTCCTTTAGCCATATTATATATATTTAATTTGTTTGGAAAACATGTACTGTTGCGTTTTCTGCCGTGATGATGGTATGTGTGGAGTGTAATCTGTTGTAATGAGTAATATGATTTAATTCAAACCCACGCACAAACAAACAAAAACATTTAAAACAATCAGATATTGTGAACTAGATCAAAGCTTATTAAAATATACTTGCTTCTTCCGACAAAATTATTACTATTATTATACTATTATTTTTTTTCTTAGAATAAATTGTTTCCAAATTTGTCATTATCCATTCATAATATTTAAATAAGAAAATAACATAGAATTGTGTTAATATTATTTATTTTACCACATCTTAATTGTTATGCTCAATGCATATATTTTCTAATAGATGAATGTAAATAATTTTTTTTTAACATTTAAAAAAGAGCCAATCCCTAATTATATAGCAGTGAATACAGTTTTTTTTAAAGATTGATATGTATGTCAGCGATATTATTTTCTTTTCTTAACATTTTATGTAACAACAAATACTTATTAAGTATGATCGGTATAAGTGATTAATTTAACTAAGTAGTTCCCAAGTCGAAAAGTTGAAATGACAATAACAAACGCAATATTTACTTGTAGTTAGATGATAGATCATAGTGAGTTAAATTTAATGTATGTAGTTATTACCAAGCTTAATATATTTTTAAGTTTCCAAGTTAGATACAAAGTGGCACAGACCAAATTCAATCAAGTTGCAAAAAAATGTATAATTTTGTGTTTGTTGCTCTGCAGTTGCTCATTTTTTTTAAATTGCATAATCATCTTCTGGTACTTCGCAGATATAATTATAGTAAAAATCTTTAGCATTATAAGAGCAATACATATCATTCATCAACCAATCAGGTGAATTCAAACACATACAGTTTTGTAAAGTTCCGCTATCAGGACCACCCGGAGGCCATTTAAAGAAAGTAACTGTTGTGTTGCTGTGTTTGTTTATCCAAATGTTTTCATGACCCTCGTCAGTCGCTCCTATCAGAGCACAATAATAGTTACGATCAGTAGCAAGAAGATGCTGTATGATAAAGTTGTATTCCGCTTCAGAATCTATTTCAGCCAAATAGCCACCAAACAAATTACATTCACCGACAAAATCGTCGACCACAAATGTAATTTGTTTTTTAGAAAGCAAATATCGTCTTCCGTTGAAGACTGGTGATATTTTAAAGAAATTTTGTCTGGCCACCTCCAACCTTCTGTTCCATGAGTTGACTCGTCCTTTTAAATTTGTTTCATCTAAAGTCAGATTGTCCTGTCTTTTTGTAAGTTGTTCAATTAAAGATGTCAATGTCTTGATTTGTCCGGTTAGAGTTTCCACATCGGGATGTGTGGAGGACACCAAAGTTGTGACGTTGACATAAGCAGGATGTCCGGTATGATCAATGCCATGAGCTTCGCACTGATACACACCAGATTTTGTTGCGTCTGGGTATTCCCATAAAAGTTTGATGTATGATTCTCCGTTGTTGTCGATTTTCCCAGAAGCTGTAATGTTAACCTCTGATATGTCCTTGATCTGAACTTCTGGAGTAAACATGGTCAGTGACGCCAGCTCTTTGAAGTTCGTGTCTTGTGGGTTTGTTGATCTCGAGATGATTAAAGAGATGAGGCTCTCCATGCTGGAGTCGTCTCCCCTTGTTATTGAACATTTCACATCGAGATATCTTGTTACTCCAACAACTACATTGCTAGGGGTGGCGTCAATATGAATACCGGAAACTGAAAGATCAATGAGAAATCTTAACGTTCATACATACAAAGTCACATATACAAACACACACAGACACATATACAAACACACACAGACACACACACATATATATATATATATATATATATATATATATATATATATATATATATATGAAACAAATTCCAAACAAAGTTAATACCGAAAAAATACCCACCTGCAACAACAGCACCCAAGAAGACAACAACACCTGACACTGCTTTCAACATTCTCAATACTCTAGCAAGTACGTAAGACAGCTGGGGCCTTTTATACATTACACAATGCGGATATCAAAGATAAAAGCGTAGGGTATATGTAATTATTATGTCATTTGTATCATACACAATGCTGACATAATACTAACTTTTACCATGGCGATAAGGCTGATAAAGCAACCGAGTTAGGATAAAATGTCAGTGCTTATGTAATCAGTAACATAGCTTATAAAGATGTGTAAATAATGACCTCACCAACTCTATCATGTATTGATAAAGCGCGTTAAATTACAAGTGTATGCACAATGGACTAAATTAGTTTGGACTTAAACAGTTGTTCTGGTGGGTTCTTCTTTAAGGACTTACGATAAACTGCTGGTTCAGTTCACAACTTTATTTACAACGAGCCGACCCGCAGCGTATCATACGCAGCTATTTAGTTGTTGTTTTTTCTACTTTTCAGTAATTCATAATTTGTGAATTCGACAGTACCAATGCTGCCACTGAAAATATTTGCTTTAAAACACTAACCCCCCCCCTCCCTTTCCCCTTTCTCCCTTCCCCCCCCCCCCCCTCTTAGTTACCTCCTCTAAGTTTAAAATCGTTTCAAACTAAATTATCTGCCCCTAATAGCCGTCACCAAACCCGGCTCTACGATTGTAAAATGTAAACATTTAGCGTGAACCACAGCTCACCAGACCATGTGGGGGTGGAGTGGGGGTGGTAGTGATAGAGAGGAAGAGAGGGGACTGCAAGGCGCGCTTGCAGCTTGTTTTCTAACGTCTCCCAGAAGAGAATTATATATATAGATATGATTTTATACATATGGAAAAAATTTTAAAACCCCTCCCATGACCGATTCCTGGCTCAGCCACTGCAGTCAACTCACAGTTTCCCTTTACATTCAACTGATTCACCCAGATTATTTACTCTCAATCGCACACTTCAGTCTGTGAACGATACCTACAAAAGCATGCCAATACGATGAATGATCGTTCACACGTCATATGGCTTGTGTTATATACTGTTACACACAATAACCTCCAAACTTAATTTGTAAAATTACTGTCTTTTATAGGTATAACATTCGATAGACATAAACTGCATCTTTTTATCACTAATTATCACACTAATATATATATATATATATATATATATATATATATATATATATATATATATATATATATATATATATATGTAACTAGGGGAAGTTACCAGAGACAGAAGAACGCAGTACAGCGCTGTCAACTTTGACACGACTGATGCAATAACGCAGGTGTTGGCTGATAACGATCAGAAAGCCAAGGCGTAGTATCTTGGGAAGCGATATGATAAGAACGCAATACGGTCTGTCAACTTTGATGTGACAGGATGCAGATGGCTTATTAAATCGGACTGTACGACAGAAGCGGCGTAATTAACATTCTGATGCAACGATTAGAATCGATTACGATTACGATTATGGTAGAACCGAATACGATTACGAATACGAAGGGGAGATATAGGAAGGCGACGGCTGAGCTCGCTCTCTCTCTCGATCAGTCAGTCAGTGAGGCAGTATCAAGTTGGTTATTGAACGGGTTAGCCGTATTGTGTTAAGAAGGACGATAGACATGTGCATTCAGTTATGTGAAGACTAGTGAGGACTGTTGGGGGTCAGTTGATTCAGACTATTATTGTGAAGCATTCCTTTTGATTCATTATATTATTGTGAAGCATTTCTTTGATTCATGTAATAAAAGGATCAATAGCGAACCTGCATCTTCGAGTATCTATACTGTGGTCGATGTTGTGTAGAATGAGTGGTTAGACTCGGTAACATTTGGCGTTGTCGAGCAGAACTCGTTAACATTTGGCACTACAGGCAAATAGTCTCGTTACATATATATATATATATATATATATATATATATATATATATATATATATATATATATATATATATATATATATATATATATATATGTATGTATATATATATATATATATATATATATATATATATATATATATATATATATATATATATATATATATATATATGTATATATATATATATATATATATATATATATATATATATACATATATATATATATACATACATATATATATATATATATATATATATATATATATATAACTGCTCTAATAATGTACAATATTGATAAGCTATTAGTGTATGGTTTTGAAAAGCGTATGATATTGTTTTATTCTTAATTTTAAAATTAATGTATTGCATTATTAATAGACCGTTTTATTAACATACAAAGTTGATTGGAGACTTTTGTAATAAGAAGTAAAGCATTATGCAACACTATTCTAGAGTACGTTTTTATTCATTTTTTTTATACAGGAGTAAAGCAGGAAATATGTGAACCCACGAATGGGAAATGACATCATTAATCAGATGGTAAACGACTACATGCACGTTATGTATTGGTAGTTGTGAGGGTGGGTTAAGCAACACCACCAAATGTGAGAGTGGGGGGGGGGGTTGGTGATGAAGATGATGAAAAGAAACAACACACAGTCCAAGTGAAAATATAATGCTCATATTAAAATGTACACAATCAACTTCCTACCTAACTAATCTATACTGTACTACTACTACTACTTCTATCTAAGTGTTCCCTAGCTCTACATATCTCCGACCGTCTCTACCTAACTCTGACCGTTCTCTTCGCTAGCTAACTATCAACTGCGCCGCTGATTTAACTACTGCCCCACGCTTCAGTGGTCAGCTGACCGTCCCACGTGACTGGTCAGCTCCCGCATTTTTATTTGTCTCTCTAACCAACTAGCTATAGCCTGTTTCTATTATTTACCCCTGTGACCTACTTAGGTCGAGTCTTTTTTATTTTGACATTGTATAATTCCTTATATGGAATGATTGTGTAACACCTGGGGTTTTTCCACTGACTTATTAAGGTGTTTGAGACATAGAAATTTTCCATTAAAATCTGATTGAATGATTCTGATCAGATGATTATCCCAACCAATGGCGACATGAGTTGAGGATAACCTCCCCTGTCACAGAAGTCTTTAATTGCCCCGCACACTCGCAACACGAGGCAGTTTATCTTGACCTGGCAGTCTACGAGGCAGTTTTACCTTAGTCAGGCAGCCGTCCATATTGTCCGGCTATAGACTCTGACCATTTGAACGTGAGAGTACTTAAGACCTGTGTGTGCCTTGCTTTCTTAAAGTGATTTAGTCTTCTAGTTTAATATTACTTGTCGCTAAGTAATTCTAGAAACTACAGCAGTGTTGTGTGGCCTGTAGCTGTTCTTTAGACAGTGTAGAAATCTGTGATAGTGTTTTTTCCTACATTGTGTAAGTTGGTTTTTGATATTTTATACATTAAATATTTTATTTAATTCAACCTTGTGTTCTGCCACTTCTGAGTTCGCTGATTAAAAGGTCGTATGTAGATTGGATGAGTGTTAATTACAATAGTATCACTAGCTTCCCTAGACGTTAAATTCGAGCCCTAGTGGTCGTTGTGTTAAGTGTTCATCCACTTAGGCCGTAAGGCATTTGCATATGACCCCGAAAAAAGAATCCGGGGACGTTCTCCTTCTATTTGGCTGATAGATAGGTTAACGTTACAAAGTGGGAGCTCGCCGAGATTTAATCTGTCGTTCCAGTTGTTGGTTATATCAGTTGAATACTAAGGTTAGTTGGATTTAGTTGTTTTTATATCCAGTAGCGCAGTGTTCTTACAACGCGCGCTCAGGCTAGAGTATCTAGGTCAAATAAGCAGACGTGTCGTCCTAGATTGAAGAGGTCAAGTACACGGCCCAACGCTGTGTATTAATTTAAAGAATCTAGGCTTGTTGTGATTTTCAAGTTACTGTTATGGAGTCTTTTTTGGCTAATCCTACTGTTGAAGATGTAGAAAAGTTGAGTAGAAAAGTTTTGGTTAGTGTTGTTAAGGAATTGAAATTGGATTATTCTGTTACGCAGAAGTCAGAGGTGTTGAGAGATAAAATTGTTGTTCATTTCATTAATGAAGGGGTATTTGATGAAAGTTTGTTGGCTGGTGTATTACTTCGTGAGGAGAAAGTTGCTTTAGAGAAGGCATTAAAAGAACAGGAGTTAGAGGTTAAAATTGCTTTAGATAGGAGGAGGTTGGAATTAGAGTTTGGTCAAGTTAGTGATGTTACTTCTCTGGTAGATCCAAAAAAGTTGTCGGTAGGGCAAGTGATTGCCAAATTTGGGAAATTAGTTCCCAAATTTGATGAAACAGATTTGGTCGTTTTCTTTAACTCATTTGAGAGTTTAGCGAAGACATGTGAATGGCCCGAAACTTCCATTACTGCTTTATTGAGCTCTGTCCTTACTGGGAAAGCTGCAAAAACATACCAGGCACTCTCTCACGACGTTCAAAATAACTATAGTTTGGTCAAGACTGCCATTTTAAAGGCCTACGCACTGACGCCCGAGGCCTATCGGACAAAATTCCGAACACTCCGCAAGTTACCCACACAATCATATGTGGAATTTCTCTTTGAAAAGGAGAAAATATTCTCAAGGTGGCTACACTCTGAGGAAGTTTCTGAGTTTGAGAAACTCAGGTCACTTATCCTAAGGGAAGAATTCCTATCGTCCCTGCCTGAAGAGATACGACTACACATTCTGGATAACAAGATAACTGACATCCAGAAGGCTGCTGAGTCGGCTGACACCTATATGTTGGTGCATAAGAAACCACCAGTGTCAGGAAACCGCCTCAACCCCGTGCTTCCCCTTTTTGGCAGCAATCATCCTGTTGGCCAACATTTGAAGACATTACAGTCCAGAGAGAACCCAAGATCAACTCTCAATCGTCGAGCAGTATGCCAGTTCTGCAAAAGGCCTGGTCATCTTGTCAAGGACTGTTACAAACGTCGTCAATATAACAGAGAGGTGGTGCGTACTTCCGCGCACTATGCTCTATCCCCTCAAGCAGCCAGTCCAACTATGAACTCTAGAATTCAAAAGGACTCTAACCCTAAGTGTCCGCAAGAAGGTAGTCAAGTCTCCACACATTATGTGCAGTCACATTTTGACTGTTCTCGCCACCATCCAGTTTCTTCCGAGTCTACCGATCTCGAGGGATCGAGAAAAGTTGACTTTTCATCTTTTATTGCCGAAGCCATCATTAGCAAACCAGGTGATCCGTTGTCTCAGAAGAATATCACCGTTCTAAGAGACACAGGAGCGTCACAATCACTCCTTTTGAAAAGTTCAATGGACATTACACCTGAGACGAACACCGGAAGGATTTCCATTATCCAGGGAGTGGGGACAAAATCTACTGTCGTCCCTCTACACAAGTTTGCCCTGAAACATCATCTCGTCGAAGGTGAGGTCATTTTAGGTGTGATAGATAGTATTCCTGTCCCAGGAGTACACCTACTTCTAGGGAATGACCTTGCGGGAAGCAAAGTATACCCCTGTACGGTTTCAGACCCTTTGTCAACAGTTCCAGATAATGATTATGAACTGTATCCTGCATGTGCGGTGACAAGAAGCCAGACCAAACAATTGGCTGACACAACGTCTGAACCACATCTACCATCATCGTCAAGAAATTCGACTCCCAAACTGGAGTCTATGCTTCCAGAAAACACAAGTCTGGGCTTACCCCTGAGGATATCTCAGGAAGATATCATTAAAGCTCAACAAGTCGACGCGGAACTCAAAGCAACGGTCGAAAAATCTCTATCATCTGACGATGGAGAATATTTCGCCGAGAACGGCCTCTTCTTTCGTCGCGCTATACCAGTGATTGCCTCACCGGCCGAACCATGGTTGGGTAAAAACCAGCTGTGGATCCCTCCACCTTATCGGCATGAAATACTTAAGCTGGCACATGACCATCCAATGTCAGCGCACCCAGGTGTCACTAAAACGACGGCGAAGATCAAAGAACTGTTCTTTTGGCCCAAAATGAGAAAAGATGTGTCGCGTTACTGTAGAAGTTGCACGAACTGTCAGTTGGCCGGAAAGCCAAACCAGACAATTCCTAAGGCCCCTTTGAGTCCGATTCCTGTATTAGAAGAACCTTTTTCTAAAATCGTCATGGACTGTGTAGGTCCCTTGCCTAAAACCAAGGCGGGCAACGAGTACCTACTTACCTTTATGTGTTCAAGTACCCGTTTTCCCGAGGCGATTCCCTTACGGAACATTAAGGCAAAGACTGTAGTCAGAGCCATGACCCGGTTCTTCACTACCTTTGGATTACCTAGAATCGTGCAAACAGATCAAGGCAGCAACTTCACCAGTCACCATTTTCAGGAAGCGCTAGCCAAGCTAGGCGTTACCCACATCACCAGCTCAGCCGACCACCCTCAGTCTCAAGGCGTACTTGAGAGGTTCCACCAAACCCTCAAAACCATGCTAAGGACATTCGCTAATAGTAACACCCAATGGGATGAGTCTGTTCCTTGGATTATTTTCGCCGCGAGGGACTGTGTCCAGGACTCTTTAGGCTACTCGCCTTTTCAACTTGTGTTTGGACATTCTGTCCGTGGCCCCCTGAAGCTGATACACGAACGTTGGACAGGTACCAGTGATCATCCAGTGGAAAACTTCGACGATTTTCACGTTCGACTGAAAGCCGTGTGCGAAATGGCTCACAAGAACTTAAGAAAGGCCCAAGTGAGAATGAAAGAACTGTATGATAAGAGTTCTTGTAAACGAACATTCAATCCAGGCGACAAAGTTCTTGTGCTAGTACCTAATCTGAACAATGCGTTATCCTTGAGATATTGTGGACCCTTTACTGTGCATTCAAAATTAAGTGATTTGAACTATGTTGTCAATACGCCCGACAGAAGAAAGAAACAGACAGTGTATCATGTCAACTCACTGAAAAAATATTATGATAATTGTAACAATTTTCAATCCACAGCTAAAATTACTTTACCTGTATGTTCAAATGTTTCTGATGATGTGATACATGATAAATTGAAACCCCCAAAATTGGTAAATTCTTCCTTTTTAGATAATTTGAATGTCCACCTTATGCATTTGTCCACAGAGGAAAGCCATAGATTGTCTCAGTTATTCGAGACATTTCCCTCTATTTTTGGGGATGTCCCCAAGGAAGCGAAGGTTCCACCTCATGATGTAGACGTTGGTGACGCAAAACCCATTAAACAACACCCCTATAGAGTTAACCCGGAAAAAGCTGCTTTGATAAAAGATGAAATTGATTATATGCTCAAGAATGATATCATTGAGCCCAGTTTCAGCAACTGGAGTTCCCCATGTCTCCTAGTCCCGAAAGACGGTGGATCTTTCAGGTTTGTGACCGACTTTAGGAAGGTGAATGCGCTCACCAAAGCTGATTCCTATCCCTTACCTCGGATAGAGGACGTTATTGATAAAGTTGGTCAAGCTAAGATAATTTCCAAAATTGATTTACTTTCAGGATACTGGCAAATCCCCTTATCTGACCGTGCAAAAGAAATATCTGCTTTTGTAACCCCTAATGGTTTTTATAGATACAAACGTATGCCCTTTGGTATGCGAAATGCTGGTCAAACTTTCCAGAGGGTCATTAACTCTGTCATTGCTGACATAGACCAATGTGAGGCCTACATAGATGATATAGTTGTATTTTCTAATACTTTTGAAGAACATATTGTTCAATTGACTAACCTTTTTAGAAAATTGTCTGAAGTGAATTTTACTGTAAACTTACATAAAAGTGATTTCTGTAAAGCTTCAATTACCTATTTGGGTTATCAAGTGGGAACGAACCAAGTTCGGCCCATTGAAGCTAAAGTAGATGCTATTGTAAGGTTACCACCTCCCAAAAATTGTAAAGAAATCAAAAAGTTCCTTGGGATGGCTGGTTACTATAGACGGTTCTGTCAAAATTTTTCAGCTATTGCTGAACCTCTTACTGTATTATTGAAAAAGGGTGTTGAGTTTGAATGGTCAGATAAATGTCAAGAAGCTTTTTTAACCATTAAGTCATTTTTATCAAATGCTCCTGTTATGGCTGCACCAAATTTTAGCAAGCCCTTTAAACTTGCCATTGATGCTAGCAACTTAGCCATTGGCTCAGTCCTATTTCAAGAAGACAACATGGGAATTGACCATCCCATTGCCTTTTTTTCCAGGAAGTTAAATGAGAACCAAAAGAATTATTCTACTATTGAAAAAGAAGCTTTAGCTTTGGTTTTATCATTACAACATTTTGAAGTCTATGTCTCTTCTTCAACCAATCCAGTCAGAGTGTTTTCTGACCATGATCCCCTGAAATTTACCTCTAAGTTAGGACAGACAAATCAAAGAATATTGAGATGGTGCTTATATTTCCAAAATTTTAATCTGGAAATTTCACACATTAAGGGTAGTGATAATGTTGTGGCTGATTGTTTGTCAAGGATGTAAAATCTTGTTACACACATTGATCATGTGACACGCTTTGTGGTTCATTAGGACCATAAACAGGTTTTGTTTGAGTGTCACTCATATGAAAATGAGTGGTGTGAGTTAGAATGTTTCAAAATTCCAATCCTGTTGAATATTTTGTTTATTTTCAGGTGAACCTTAATTAAAGGTGGTTTTTGATTATATGTAATCTTTTATAATAATATGTCTCATATGACTCAATTGATATTGTAGCTAGTCATTGAAATAAAGGTCTTACCCTGGCGGGTTTACCACCTTTAATATCCACATGGAAAAATTGTAATACCCTTTTTTGAGGGATTTTGATGTATAATTACTTTTTGAAGGGTTACTCCCCTTTCACCAATTGTAAAAGTTGGAGTTACTTCCCTTTTATGTTCAGGGATATTTTCATCTGGTATTATGATTTTGATTGCCTACATTTGTAAAACATTTTTGTTATTTCATTGCCAGATTGGTTCCTTATGTATGTTCTTGTGGAACCTATCTGTCACTTCCAAAAAGGGAGGGGATGTGACCTACTTAGGTCGAGTCTTTTTTATTTTGACATTGTATAATTCCTTATATGGAATGATTGTGTAACACCTGGGGTTTTTCCACTGACTTATTAAGGTGTTTGAGACATAGAAATTTTCCATTAAAATCTGATTGAATGATTCTGATCAGATGATTATCCCAACCAATGGCGACATGAGTTGAGGATAACCTCCCCTGTCACAGAAGTCTTTAATTGCCCCGCACACTCGCAACACGAGGCAGTTTATCTTGACCTGGCAGTCTACGAGGCAGTTTTACCTTAGTCAGGCAGCCGTCCATATTGTCCGGCTATAGACTCTGACCATTTGAACGTGAGAGTACTTAAGACCTGTGTGTGCCTTGCTTTCTTAAAGTGATTTAGTCTTCTAGTTTAATATTACTTGTCGCTAAGTAATTCTAGAAACTACAGCAGTGTTGTGTGGCCTGTAGCTGTTCTTTAGACAGTGTAGAAATCTGTGATAGTGTTTTTTCCTACATTGTGTAAGTTGGTTTTTGATATTTTATACATTAAATATTTTATTTAATTCAACCTTGTGTTCTGCCACTTCTGAGTTCGCTGATTAAAAGGTCGTATGTAGATTGGATGAGTGTTAATTACAATAGTATCACTAGCTTCCCTAGACGTTAAATTCGAGCCCTAGTGGTCGTTGTGTTAAGTGTTCATCCACTTAGGCCGTAAGGCATTTGCATATGACCCCGAAAAAAGAATCCGGGGACGTTCTCCTTCTATTTGGCTGATAGATAGGTTAACGTTACACCCCGAACTAACGTCACCACAGTAGATTTATACTTGATGATGGAAATAACTCCTCTAGAAACAACCAATCCAACCTGATCAATATTATTAAAATCAACTTTTCAGTTGTCTTGTCGCCAAGTCATTGGATAGTCTGAAATTCATGTTATTATACTTTCAATTTAGTTTATTAATCAAATCAATTAATATTTTTTAATGTTCTGGTACCTCACATATGTAACCCATGTTTAAAGATTCACGGGTGTAAGAACATTCAGCATCTGCCATAAGCCATGTAGGAGTAAACAACGTCAAACAGTTCTGTACATTTCTGCCGTCAGGATCACCAGGACGCCAGTTTAAATAAGTGACTGATGTGTTCGTGTGTACGTATATCCAGACGTTCTCATGACCAAAGTCAGTCGCACCCACGTAGAAAAATGAATAACCTTCATTAGCTGGCAGATTCTGGATGATAAAATTGTACTCCTGTTCAGAATCTATTTCAACTAAGTATCCCCCGAAAGTATTACATACTACCGCTGAGTTACCAGCTGAAAGTGTATTATATTTAACAGAAAACAAATATATTTTTCCATTGTAGCCTGGTGATATTTTATATATAGAAGTTAGATCCTTGCCTAGTAATTGCTTCAACTGTTGGTTCAACTCACGTGCAGTACTAGTCAGGTTGTCCACTTTACTGGTGAGCTGTTCAATCACCGCTGCTTGTGTCTTTACTTGTTCTAGTACAGGTTCACAGTCAGGATGTGTTGATGACACCACGACTGTCGTGTTTACATAAGCAGGATGTCCAGTGTGGTCAACGCCGTGTGCCTCACATTTATACACACCTATTTTCGTTACATCCGGGTATTCCCATACCAGATCTATGTAAGATTGTTCATTGTTGTCGATGTTTCCCGATGCGGTCATGTTAACTTCTAAGACATCCTTGATCTGCACCATAGGGGTAAACGTGGTCATTGATGCCAGCTCTTGGAAATCTTTGTCTTGTGAAGTTTTCGATCTCGAGATTATTAAAGACATGAGACTTTCCATGCTGGAGTCGTCTCCCCTTGTAGTCGAACACCTAACATTGAGATATCTTGTTACTCCAATATTTATATGGCTAGGGGCAGCTTCCATACGAATTCCAGAAGCTAAAAAGTTTATATACAAAAGGATATGTTTACACTTTATATATATATATATATATATATATATATATATATATATATATATATATATATATATATATATATATATATATATAAGAATATTATACAGGCTATAATTATATATGTATATATATATATATATATATATATATATATATATATATATATATATATATATATATATATATATATATATATATATATATATATATATATATAGTTAATACATAACGAATTCACCCACCTGTAGAGAGAGATCCTATGCAGACGATCACTATGCACAGCTCAAAGTTCAACATTTTCAATGTAATTAATATTTTAATAGCCATAGCTAAGCTTTATATAGGCCTATTATATATGACACGTTTATAAGTGATTTCAAGATGGTCCATATCTTGTTGTTGACATTTGATAAAAATATATATTAATGTTGTCATGTTTGCATAATTTTTTTCATACGATAAAACAAACAGGAACGAATTCTATTATGATTGAACATGAGCTAATGGATAAACAAACACGAAAGTCAGAAGATGGTTTAGCAAGATCTGTTAAGTCACTGTACTTAATGGTTATACGAGTAAACATGTTGTTCGGGTGATACTTAAATACGTCAGTGGGATTTTTTTTTAATCGTTCAACAAATCGAGTCATATAACACGGGGAGTAAATATATTCAGAAATCAACTATTTTATTGTTTAACATTTCAGAGGAAAATGATAAATCTGTGTATATCAGTTATTTTAATAATGCTAATAATGAAACTGCAATGCGATTGTAAAAAATATAAAAAAAAAATTTTCCGTGATGTAATAATGTATTTTACTCAATCAAAACGTCATAATTTATCCCAAAACTCTTAAACCTATCGCATCCATAAGTGTGACTTTAGCAATAGGTTCCCAATCAACCACTCATAGCTGAAGATTTAGTCTGAGTACTTGCTGTTCGTCTTATCATGTTTACACAGCTGCTGTCCTTGTAAACACTGTGCACACACTATTATCAAATCGTCAAGATGGTGTTGTGTGGAACTTGTTAACAAGAGAAATACAAATATCAGCTATCTTTATTCAACTACCAGTCTAAAGCGTTTTCCTGTTGTTTGAGAATGGAACCTAATTGGATATACTTATTCGTGTTTATAGCTTGTTCAGGTCTGGTTAGTTAGAAGCTTTATATATATATATATATATATATATATATATATATATATATATATATATATATATATATATATATATATATATATATATATATATATATATATATATATATATATATATATATATATGTGTGTGATTGTGTGTGTGTGTGTGTGTTTACAGCCGTCAGTTTAAATGTATTTTTTATTTATGAGTACACGTTAACGTTGTAAGCATAATGTACTGATATCTCTTTTATTAAGTTCAAGGTTTAAAGTTTAATATCCTAAAATAGTTTCTGTATCGACATTTCATTTCTTCAGTTTTAAAAAAAAAATGTATATTTATTTAACCCACAGTCTATTTTTTTATATAATTTTTAAAGTTATCGGTTGATTATGACTAAATATGTTTACTTTATAATACAAACAAAATCTTATAAATCAAACAGACGTTTTCATTATTTTTTTTTTGGACAGTTATCTTTTTATTCTTCTGTTGTTTTATCAGTAACAAGATACATATGTAGTTGTTTGTAGTATTGGCTTGCAAGTTTCTAATCCATCTTTCAGCGGTTGGTCTACAGATAGACACGACGCCTACTAATCTGGTGATAGGTCTAACAAAAAAACTAGAGGTCAAGTGTCAAAGTTCAGCAGACACAAACTCAAACATGGCGAGTTTAATTTCTATGATAATCTCCCGTACTAGCCGGATGGACAATCTTACGTCACATAAAGAACTGGCCATCATTAACGTTTTTAATCAGAACGGTCACCCAGTGGATATCTCCAATGAGAATATCACAATTTCGGGAAAACTTGACAACACCGGTGTTTCATACTTAAATCTAGTTTGGGAAAACCCGGACGCTTCTAAAGCTGGAGACTACAGATGTGAAGCCAACGGTGTCGACGTCATGGGACATCCGGTGATTCATACCAACAACACATCAGTAACCTCAATAATTCCAGACGATGGTTACATGGTCAGTCAAGTATTCGATTTGACCGATAAACTTAACCAAATCAACTCGCAAGTAGAACATCTTGTACGAATAAACAACATCAGAGACGAAAAACTCGAACTAATCAAAAGAACAATTTTCAACATTTCTTCATCATTCAACGGCAGACGATATTTCCTTTCCCCTATTCTTAACGCCATTATCGACAAACACGCTCTAGCAATGTGCCAACTCTATAACGGCTACCTCGCTGAGATCGACTCCAGCACTGAATACCAGTTCATCGTGGACTTTGTCTTCACCGACCCCCGGATGAACAGCGTCCTCATCGGCGCCACAGACGAGACCCAAGAGGGCGTCTGGGTCAACAGGCACACCCAGACGCCCGCGAACTACACCAAGTGGGCCTACGACTACCCGACCGTCTCAAGGGAAGATAACTGCTTGTATATTTGGTCACATGACGCCGAGATGGTGGATGGTAAATGTCAGGCCGTGTCAGAAGGTTACAAGTTTTTTGTCGGGTACCTGTGTGAGGTGCCGGATTAGCACTGCGGGGTGTAAAAACTTGTTTTAATATAGGTCTCTTCATCGTGTGTTTTTTTTCAAAACCCCATGCAGTTAGCGTGGATAGAGCCTTCTGTCCGCCCATGCACCATAGCGAAATATATCCACTTTCATTTTGTTATAGAAATAATTAATTAATATAATATATATTTATCTATATATTCACTACAGAACCCATACAAAGAAAAATAATATGCAGTGTTGGTAATATAACCCACTGCATCTTTACACTACTTAATCATCGTTTATTAATCCAATCATTATAATTTGTGTTTAACTCTATATTCTAAACATTGTGTAATCGGTGTTTCTGGGTCACTATTATGCGATATATACATCTCTAATGAGCATTTTAAAGCTATGTTATTTATTTTAAAGTTTATATTTATTTGAAATTATAATTATAGTGATCTTTTTGTATTTCTTAAACAATAAAATAATGTGTTTGCTGATTTGAACTTCCTGTTTATTTTTTCAAATGTAGTTATGTTTTCTGCTGTTGTTGTATGGTGCTGTCTGTGTCATCACGGAGTATCTACAGGTCGTGGGAATTGTTTAGTGTGTAATTTTTGTGTTCTTATTATTTTCGGTATAGATCTATTTGACTTTCAGTAACGTTGCTTTGGAGAAAGCAGTGAAAACAATTGTTAAAGAGAATGACCTGATCCAACTCGATCCTTTCTGATTAGAATTCGTACGCTCTACCGTCCGACCATACCGTCTATATCAAGACTAGTTATTGCGTTATTTATTTTACCCCTTTCTCCAATACTTCTCTTTTCAATGGATTTAAAGACATTTGAAAACTAAAAATCAATAATGCCCCCGCCCCCGCTAATTCTCTCTTCTAACTACAACATACAATTGTATATATTTCATCTCCATCATCCCCAAAACCAAGGATTCTTACAGACATTGTTATCCAAGGAGAGGGAGGGAGCTATTGAAACTTGCATTATGGGCACTAGACGCTTGCGGGTAGGACGAAAGCTGATTTAATTAAGTATACATTTTCTATACAAAGTATACCCATTTTTTTTAATTCGGTGTGCACTGCCCTCTGCGACATGTGACTAAAAGAAACACTGACATCAACACAAAAACACACACACAAATGAAAAACAATTACACCAACCGATTGAGCAACTAATACTTTGTTAGCAACTAAGTAAACATTCAAAATTTGTGAACAGTCCAGATTTGCTTTAATTAACTAGCAATTGTATGTAAAATACTATGATATTATATTTCTAATGTATTGCAAACATAGCAATTGACATATAAAATCTATTAAATTTTAAGTAACTTGAAATACAATAGAAAGATATGTAGATTTGTTCAATTTTAAAATAACATTTCTTAAGGTCAGTAAACCTGTATTCCGTATTTTAGTTGAATTTAGTTGAGTGGTACCTCACAAATGTAACCAGAATATTCCTCACTGAAATAATTACAATATTCCTCTCTCATAAGCCACGTAGGAGGGCTCAAAATTAAACAGTTCAGGTTACTGGCCATTGTAGGATAACCAGTATCCCACTTAAAATAAGTGACGGTTGTATTGCTGTGTCGGTTTTTCCAAACGTTTAGGTGACCTTCGTTAGTTGGACTAAAATGAACACGAGCGAAACCGTGTGCCAACGAAGTCACATTCGTAATTATAAAATTATGTTCCTCTTCGGTATCTATCTCTAACAAGTATCCGCCAAAAAAATTACACACCGATTCTTCATTTGTCGAATTGGAAAATCTAGTTGTTTTTGATAGAAGATAGCGTCGATCAATGTACGAAAATGATTTCTCAAACAACATATTTTCCGCAACACTCATCCATGAATCACGCCAGTTTGTTAACAGTAGTTGACCATGCATTAGTATATCCATCTTATAAGTAAGGTGTTCTATCATTGATGCTAAACTCTTGATTTCTCCAGCTAGCGATTCTATATCTGGACGGCTGTTGGAAACCACTACTGTCGAATTGACAAAGGCAGGATGGCCAGTTTGGTCAACACCGTGTGCCTCGCATTGATATATGCCAGATTTCGTTGCGTCCGGGTATTCCCAAACCAGACTAATGTACGATTCGCCGTTGTTGTCGATTTTTCCAGTAGCTAGAACGTTAAGTTCAGACACATCCTTAATCTGAACTTGTTGTATAAACATCGTCAGTGACGCCAGCTCTTTAAAGTTTGTGAGTTCTGTGTTTGTTGATCGTGATATTATTATAGAGATAAGACTGTCCATGCTGAACCCCCTTCCTCT